ACTGCCAGTCGCCCCCTCCCCCCCCCCCCCCCCCCCCTCTTTTTCTCTCCCCATCTTTCCCATGGCAATTTGGTAGGCATTTGTGTTTAAGTGACCAAATGGGGAATTACTTTCTTAGTTTCTGTGGCCTTGAAGTGGGGAGATTGTGTGTAGTCAACAGTCGTTGACAAAGTAAGTACTGACCCTGAATGATGACAAAACATGGGATATCAGAAGACACTGTATTTTTTTTTTCCTTTCCTTCAGTGAAGTAGTTCTGAGTACTAATTACGCTTTGACTTTTTAATTTTTTCAAGGTATCTTTCATAAAGGCATATTCTTTGAATCTTCTGTTCAGATACCTATTTTTGGAGTTTTTCCACGAAGGTTGTTTTCATCTTTTTGTAAAGACTGAGCATTTTTGAACTAGCCCTTTAGAGGTGTCAAGACTTGGTTTAGAACCAGCACTTTATTCTGCTGCTTGTTTTGAGCCTTCCTTTTTATAGCGTAGTATGTCCCTGCTGATTAACAGGAAAAGGGATGGGTTTTTGTGATGGAAACTGGGATTAGCTGGGATAGAAATGGTAGAACTGCATCAATACAGCCACCAGGCACATGGAGATCTTCAGTCGGTCGGCACTGAGCTACTTTGTACAGTTCCTTCCTTTTTTTTCTGCTCCCTGTAGTTTATAGAATCATAGAATAGTTTGGGTTGGAGGGGACCTTCAAAGGCCCTCTAGTCCAGCTCCCCTGCAGTGAGCAGGGACGACATCTTCTGACAACTCCATCAGGTTGGTCAGAGCCCCGTCCAACCTGACCTGGGATATTTCCAGGGATGGGGCATCTACTGTCTCTCTTGGCAACCTGGGCCAGTGTTCCACCACTCTTACTCTGAGACGTTTCTTCCTTACATCTAGTCTAAATCTCCTCTCTTCCACTTAAAAACCGTTACCACTTGTCCTGTCACAAAAGACCCTCCTAAAAAGCCTATGCCCATCTTTCTTACAACCCCCCTTTAAGTACTGGAAGGCTGCGATAAGGTCTCCCTGGAGCCTTTGCTTCTAGTTACTGTTATGTTCTAGTTATTGGTCTGTATCCCCAAAAACACCCTGTTCCTTAAGCTAGACTGGTAAAAGTGATGAAATGGAGCATACGTTGAAGTTCCCAGTGTAGAAATGCTATCAAATTCTGATTTCCACCTGGTTTCTCCTGTGGCTTTAGGCAATACAGCCCTTACATATGCCTGTGCTGGAGGCTATGTAGATGTTGTGAAAGTACTGCTGGAATCGGGCGCTAGTATTGAGGACCATAACGAGAATGGTCACACTCCTCTGATGGAAGCAGGAAGTGCCGGCCATGTGGAAGTGGCCAGAGTGCTGTTAGAAAATGGAGCAGGCATAAATACGCATTCCAATGAATTCAAGGAGAGCGCACTTACGCTGGCTTGCTACAAAGGTATAGTACCAGATGCTGCACTCGTTACAAAGGTGTAACAAGCCTGGGCAAGTGGGGCGGGTGGGGAAAGTGTTTGCAAACATATACTCATTCAGCCTTGCTGTTGAGGACAGAACACATTCAAAGGCTAGAAATAGACACTGTCTACTGCCTTTGTCCTGGTGGGGGTACCCCATAGCATACATGCACAGTACGTGAAATGGTGATCAGTGTGGCAAGTGCAAGTGTCAAGATATAAAACCTATATGTGGGCCTTTATGATGCTTCACAAGATTTTACTCTACTGTATTAATGAGTTATGCAGTGAGGAAATAACACGCTTTGTCACACAGTAAGTTTGTTAAACTTTCTGTAAAGTAACTATATTGTATGACATGCATCTGCTTAGGCTTAGAAAATACCTAAATCTAAAGGACTTAGCACTGGAAAACATGCGAGATCTAGAGTCTTGCCTTTTAGGTGTCAGTGCTCAGGCAACAGGCCTTTATTGCCTTCCTTAGAGTATTAGGCTGCTATCTTGCATCGCGCGAGCAAGAGATGATGATGTTGAATTAAGAGGCCAAATGTGTTCACGCTGCTGAGCAGTTCTGTTGCAGTCACGTAGGACATGTTTTATTACAGCTGTTAGAGGGATTTTTGGCATCATAGAGTAATTGATGTTGGTAGCAGTGGTACTTTTGTGGCACCTCAGTAGAAGATGGTCGTAGTCTTTCATTTACGTTTCTTTTATCTGCTTTGATAAACTTTTGGTTCACTGTTGCTGAATGCCTTCTTAAGCCGTGGTAATTTTCTTCCGTGGTGGCTATCGGAGCATAGGCTGTGTTTGGAAGAGGTGAGTGGGACCCCAAAACATTCCTTCACTGAGAAAATGCTCTTGGGCTCTGAATCCTGAAGTGAGGTTGGAAAGCAGAAATGAATAATTACAGTCTGTGCTCAGTCAGTTGTTCCTTGTGATACATGGGACAGAAGTGAAGATAGGCAGGCTTTTATGTATTTCACCTTACCCGTATATGATACGTCTATCTTGTGGAGCAAACGTATCAATGCACAAATATTATGTTTAGGGCATAAAGATAAGCTCTTAATTGTCTCATGTTGCTTGCTTCCTGTTGTAGAATGACATGATACTTAGGACCAAGAAGGTCGGTGACTTCTCCCAAATAAAGGGGGAAGGGCAAAAAGGCAACGTAGCCTCACATTGGGCAGTATCTGTACTGTTCGTGGTGTTGCTAGGCGTAGTTGTAGTTTCCAAGTTTAGCCACCGTCATGCTGAGTTATGAAATGGAGTATTTTTTTTTATTTGACTCAATTTTTTTTATGCTTGCATATTGCATTGGTCATGAGTGTGCAGTGATGTTGACTGGACTTGGCACAGGTACAGGTCTTGGTGAAATGTAGCCGTGAATTAATGGAGAGCTTGAGAGCAAATACTGTGAAAAAAGCTGTTAGGTGTCCCTGTTGTGGGAGGATGCCTGCAGATGGTTGAATTCTTATGAGTATGCTTGGGAGTGTGAAGGTCCATCTGCTTTGTATTTTTTATGGTCTGAGGGTTGCTGTTAGCTCAGGGATTGGTTACGATGTCCTTTGTAAAAATAGTACCCCTGAATCCTTAATGTCAAGCAAGTAGAGGGAAAACCATGACCCCCAACAAAAAAAGCAACATTCTGTAGATGAAAAAAAATCCAAGACCTTTGCACAAAATAAAACGCCCTGGTAAAGCTTTTGGGGTGTCTGCTACTCTGCTCTAATGTCACCTCAAGCAATGCATGTAGTGCAGACATGACATTAGAAACTGAAGTGAATTGTGTTGTATTTGTAGTAACTATGCTGCTAAGCGTCGGTGCGTGTTGAAGGCATAGAGATGAACGTGCCTTTCAAGAGTGTTTCATGGGATTTTTTTTTTTAATGTTGTAGCATGGCCTTCTGTTACCTTTGTTACGTACGTTAGACCCTTTCTATGACTTGTGAAATGCGCTTTCTAAAGTATTTTTATGTTCTAAATATTTTCTCCGTACAGGGCATCTAGAAATGGTGAGATTTCTGCTGGAAGCTGGTGCAGACCAGGAACACAAGACAGATGAAATGCATACTGCTCTCATGGAGGCTTGCATGGTAAGAGATGTATGGCTTGAGCTCTGAGCGTATGTACTTTCTTTGCTTCCAGAACATGAACAAAGCGATTCCCTTTGGTCTCGTTTTGCTACAGAACCTAACTATGTGATGATTTGGTTCTCTTCTGTACTTGATGGCCCTTTGGCAGGAGAAATCGGAGGGGCGGGGCGGGGCGTACCTCATGGAAAAACAGTACTTCCCGAAACAGCAAAATTGAACTCGTTGCTCTTGTGGACCGAGTAGTTGGAAGTCTTAAGAGACATGAACTAAAACTTGCATCATGTGAGCATTAGCAGGAGAGCTCTATTTACCCATCGTTTGAATAAGTAGGTCCCCGTGTGTCCAGCTGCACTTCATTTTTTCTGTAGTGGCAGAAGTTGGTGAGCGACGCTATGTGCTCGTTGTCCCAAAGCAGCTTCTGTAGGCTACGTCTCTCCTTGTGTTGTTAATCTGTTACTCGCCCCTTGCTTTTGTCCTTCTGATGATCATGGAGGCCTGGTTTGAAACAGATACCTCTGTGACCTCAGTTCAGAGAAATTAATGACTTCAAGAGGTAGCCAAAAGTAAATAACAGTAATTTAAGTAAATAACAGTAATTTATTTGAACAGCACCCATTTTTTTTTTTCTTTGTGTAATTTTGCAGGCTTGTGGGTGAGCAACTTTTAGCTTACGATGGGGAAATCCTTTCTACGGTAATCTCCAAATTAATTAACTTTAAGTGGAAGATCCTCTGTGGTTGTTGAAATGCTTTTAAGAATTCTAATGTGGGCTGAACATAGGCGGTGAATATGGTCATTGCCTGGCTATTGGAGGCATTTAACATACTTGCGTCACGTTTAAGGAGTCCGTAAGCTAAGTTCTCTTTCAGAGTAGGTGGTTATGTTTAGGTGTGCATGTGCAACTTGTTTTAGTGTGCTTCACATAGCCACGTGCTCCTTGAAAACGCACGATTAGGAGCTCTTTGGGAAGCAGCTAGGAAATGGAAGGGGAAATTGTGAACTCGTTACTGCTGAGAGTACTTTCTGTGTTGCTGGTTTGCCCGTCTAAGGCAATTGTGAAATCACAGGGTAGAATAGATTACTGTTTTCATAGCACTTACAAAGGTTCTGATAACAGCTCTGGTTTTTGGATAGTAGTTTTCTGCTGTAGAACACAAATATATGTGAAGCTTCCCCTTGAAAAGGTTATTTATGGGTATGTTTTGGTGCTGGAATGGTATAATTGATGCCGGACTTTAGATTGTTCCAGGCTTTCGTAGTGAGGGAAACTTGCTAAATCGGTGTCTTTAGATAGTTTTTCTGTTATAAGTACCGTTAGCCTTGAACAGCTGTGTAAGTCTCATATATGTGCACCTTCTACAAAGCAGGTATCCTGTTTGAAACCTATTTCCTACATATTACCCGAGGTAATGAGATAGAATTTCTGTGGCCATTTCCTTTAGAAATTTGTTTCAATGATGGAGTGAATGTGCCCATTTATTCCCTTAATTTCTCCTCCAGGAATTGTTTAGACTGCGCTACCCCTTCTCAGAGAAGTGAATACCCTGCCATGAGTCAGTAACCCTGCGCCATACCAAGGGTTGCCGGGATAAGCTAGCAGGATGAAAAATCCAGCAGGTGTCAGTTTGTGTTTCTAGTACTCAGAATGTTTTGAGTTTTTCCTGCTGGAGAAGAGAAAATTAAATGAGATGGAGCAGATCGAGGCTCCATTTTTAGGCCTCCCCCCAGTTTTCTTTGTGACCCTGAATTGCAGCAGGCTGTTGTGCATCGCTTACTGCAGATGCGGCTTCTTCTATTTAGGATGCACAGCTGCAGCATGCTTAGGTAGGTCAGTAGTTTGTGCCTTATGCCAACATATTCAAAATTCTTCATCTGAATATGGAACTTAGAAGTAAAACTGAAAACTGGTCTCTTGGGTTTCCTTGTTCCCCTCCTCTCTAACTAGATTTCTCATGGGTTGAGTTTTCCATGTCACTAGGTTTGTGTAGCGTCCCGATGTGAATCTGTGGCCGTAGAGGAGTACCACAAACCCTTACTTACTCTTGTAAAATGAGCTGGTTATGTCTATGCAAGGAAGTTAATGACTTCACATAGGGGAATCGTTAACCGAAACCATTATACTTCTCAAGAAGCTGGTAGGAAGAAAGCCATGTAGGTAAAGAGGACTTGAGCTATTGTTGATCTCATGCTGAAATCTTAACAGATTAGACATATAAATATCACCGGTGCTGTCCTCGCAGCGAGTTCCCTGGAAGGTGATGACAAAATGATCTTCGTCGATGTTGCTGTAGCCTTCTCATCAGGATGGCTTTTTGGCAGATCGGAAGTCTGCAGAGAAAGCTGCTATTTCGTGGAGCAAGGCCCTCCACCAACAGACTTAGAGAAGTCCGTTAGACTCGCAGAAGGGTTGAGACCCATTTTTTAAGATGTACTGAGTGATTGGGAGGGGTGGAAATCTGTCTCCCTTCTTTCTGCAGGAAACTCGTCCCTAAGCAGGCATTTCCACACTGCTGCTCAGAATTGATAGGAGAGTCTCGGAACCTTCAGCTCTGCTTAAGAGAGGGAGCAGCAGTAGTTAGAGAGGTTGCAGCCTGAAATAAAGCAGTGCATGGGCTTCTCATCTCAGCTTTTTTTTTTTTTTTTCCAGAAACAGTTGTTGCTTTTCGGTAGCAGAAGAAAACTACCTTCTCCAGGATAGCACTGAACTTGAATATATGTTACAGAATTTTTTGTATGTGGTATAGCACTTGGAAGCCAGTGAGAACTGTTTAAACCTTGTCCTACAAGGCATTCGGGAAGACTTCTGACGGAGAGCTTTTTTATAGACAGCAGTTAACATTGGTTTAATGCAAATTAGTTGTTGGGCAGTGTCAGTTGCCTTGCGGGAGCAAAAAGCAGGTTTGTCTAGTTTGTGCCTCCTCTTACTGAAGTAACCTAATATTCCGCAGCGAGGGCTGAGTACTGATTGCACACAGAGGCTGATGGTGAAAACTCACTCGGGGCACTTGTGCAGATGGGTCAGATGACTTTTTGTGATCACGTAGCAGTTCCGGGGGCTTTTTCTAGTTGTTGCAGCCAAGCTGAACGATACCACCCCATTGCGAGGTTTGTTAAAGCATGGATAACATTTGCTGGTCTGTTCACCGTCAGTTATTCTCAAGGCTGCTTGGCCCATATAAGCAGCTTTGAAGCACGGCTTTATACTGCTGTTTGCCGTACTTGTCGTGAATCGGGGATGATTAACGAGCTGTTTTGCCAGAGCCTGATGGTTGAGGCACCGTGTCTGCATCTCCCTGAGGAAAGGTTCTTTATGGAGTCTTGGATTTTTTCCCTAAAATAGTGTTGTCATTTCTTATAAAAGGTGAATATGTCCTAGTTCATGTCCTAGATATTTTTCTGAGAGGAAATCACGTTTTGCTCCCTCGATATCAGAAGAAGGTATGAAAAAGTTAAGAAAACAAAGCGTAAACATGTCAGATGCTGTTTCTTATCTTGTCTGGAGAAGAGCTTCTTGGGGTTGTACCTTCTAGCTTGGCGAGGATGGTGAGGGTTGTGGTTTGCTACCTCTTTTTAGTCAATCTGAGACCAAGGTGTACATACATTGTTCAGTGACAACCTTGGGAAAGCCTTGTGTTCCTGGTAAGCTGCTGGTTTTGATACGCAGTCCTCCTGTGTTTTGTGTGTCGGACTTGCTCCCCTGATGGTTAACTCCAAGTTTGAATGATTGCCCTTTCCTGATGGAGAAGACCAGCTCGGAGAGTCTGTTCTGTTGTTGGAGCGCACTGACCAAGCCAGTCTCTGCTTCTGTCTAAACAAAAGCAGAGTTGAATGGCAGTTGGGTATGTCACTGTCAGCGCTCGAGTGTAAACATACAGCTGGAAAGGCACTTCAAATGTAGTGCCTGAATTTATGGCATACTAAAAACATGATGAGGATGATAGCCTCCAATATTTTCTTTGTTTCTAAAGGAAGAAAGCAGACTTAGGAGCTATGTTTTGGTAAAACTAGTTTGACGGCATGGTCATGCTACCTGGAAAATGCTGCTGAGGGAAGGCTGTAGTTCAGGTGGCTCCTGTGATGTATGAGGAACGCCTGGAGAAATGGTCCTGTTTTGGCTTTTCTCTTGTAGGCAGAAAGTAAGTTCTAACTCTGCTATGAAATTGAGCAGTGAGGGAGATCGTTTTTGCAGCAGCCAAGAGGCAAGCAATGTAATGGTGCACGGCCTCCCTTCAAGAAAGGAAGCGTGCAAAACTGTTAAACCTAAACCCTGTCCTCATTCCCGCATCCCTCCCCAAAAGCTGGGAATCTATAATGTAAATACTATGAGCCAGTAACGGTCTGGATGGACGTGAGGACGAACTGTACTCCTGGCCTGCGTTGTTTTTATAAGTAAAATAGACTGCATTTAACAAGTAAAGTAGCTGCATGTTGGATTTTAAACACAATTCCCCTTTCTTGACAAGGTGGGGAGCATTGGCATTGAGTGACTTGTTTGAAGCTTAAAGGTTTTCTAGTCTTCAGGAAGGACATAAAAACCTGCTCTTAGATCCAAGAGAAGATTTTTATTTTTAAACTGAAATTCTCTTAATACCTCTTTATTTATCAGACTGTTTGTGTTGCTAGTAGTGAATTTGTTGGCAGAACACAACAAGAAATACATTTGAGTTAAATTTAAGTTATTTCTTAGAATTTGTGTTCCTTAGATAATTTTGCACGTAGGGTTCTGTGTGTACAGTCTTGAAAAAAGAGGAGCCCTGGCTGTTAGAGTGTTTTGGTATCGTTCTTGTGGAGGAGGCAAGCTCCTGAAATAGGGTTGAGCTCCCTCGCAACTGTTTGGGTTGGCTCCCCCCAATACACTGGTCCCAAACGCTTGGACTTAAGTTTGATGTGAAGTTGACCAGCTTGTTACTTATACCACGGGCAGGGAGGTTTGATATGTGGTTCACAACATTTTAGTTTTGTATTTAACATACTTGGTAAAACATGCTTGAAGCTTCTTCAGGTGCCTATTTAATAGTAGATCTTTAGCCTTTTTCCAAATACTTAGGAAAACTATTAAGCAAGTTTCATTATATTTTTGGGCTTCTTCACTCACTTGTTGCTTTCTGTGTCTTATGAGGGAATTGGAGTCCATGACTATTGAAAGCTTTGGAGAAGAGGAGCAATTTTTCTATTTTTGACGGTGTTCTGATCTTGGTTTTTTGAATTCCTAGGATGGCCATGTGGAAGTGGCAAGATTACTTCTTGACAGCGGCGCTCAGGTGAACATGCCTGCTGACTCTTTTGAGTCTCCGTTGACTTTGGCGGCCTGTGGCGGGCATGTCGAACTGGCAGCTTTGTTAATTGAACGTGGAGCTAACTTGGAAGAGGTAAACGATGAAGGATACACACCGCTAATGGAAGCAGCTAGAGAAGGCCATGAAGAGATGGTGGCACTGTTACTTGGTCAAGGTAACTATTACGGTGGCTTCTGTGGACCATAATTCAGTAGGCATCTGCATACGTTATGGGAAGAAAAAAGTTAAGTTACTGTAAATTTGCTTTTCTTATTCAACAGCTTCTCAACTTACCCTCTTTGAGCAGTTGTTTTGGGGTTTGGGTTTTTAATTGTTTCTTTTGGGGTTTATTTTCTGTTTTTGTTTTGTTCTTTAAAGCAAATATCCTGTATTGTACTAGTTCACTTTCTAAGTGGTCATTCTGAATTGTTCTTCAGAAGAGGTTTGTGCTTTTCAGATGGGCACGGAATAGCAAACGGTTCATGTCAGTAACTGGTACTCTGCACGATGGCCTATCTTGAGATGGTGTTATTGCTGAAAAGCTGTAGAGAAGGGCTTTGAGGCCCTCAGAGGGGTTACACAGTAGTTCAAGTTCAAATCTTCTTGTCACACCGTGATTTTAGAACAAAATTTCTACAGCTCTAGAAAGGAAATGGGTAGTAAGAAGATGCCTTGTGCATCAGAAAATGGCTTTGCTGATACCGCTTTTAGTAACTACTGTTTCCTGATGTATGTGTGGTTTTGGTGTTTTGTTTGGTTTTTCGAAGGAGCAAACATCAATGCGCAAACGGAGGAGACGCAAGAAACGGCATTAACTCTGGCTTGCTGTGGAGGCTTTTTGGAGGTTGCTGATTTTCTTATTAAAGCAGGAGCTGACATAGAACTCGGTTGTTCCACACCTTTGATGGAGGCTGCTCAAGAGGGTCATTTGGAGCTGGTTAAATATTTATTAGCTGCAGGTAGGAAGTCATTTTCTTAATAGTTTTGTAGACACTGAATGTAACCTGAAGAGAAAAATATTTTTGTTTGTCTTCATAATGTTTTCATTAGCAGCTATTTGAAGTTGACCACAAAGATTTGTGGAACCTTAAGTAATTTACTAGTTGGATCCTAATGGACATTAAGTTCTGAAGATGAAGTTGTTGTAAACTCACTGGAATTGAGCTTCTAGTTCATGTTAAATTTTTTTATGCCTCTAGAGTGTGATTAAGGAGTCTGTTTCATAGATGTTAGAAGGGAACGGGAAAGTTAAAAATCTGCTCTCTGATCTGGTAAAGATTATGAAGAGACTTGGATATTTTCTGTATTGAACTTCATAAGGCTTACATGCTTGTTACTACTGCTTCAGGGGCTAATGTGCATGCAACAACAGCAACAGGTGACACAGCACTGACATATGCCTGTGAAAATGGCCATACTGATGTAGCAGATGTCTTACTTCAGGCAGGCGCAGATCTGGTAAGTCATTGCCTTCATAAAAAAAGTTAGGAAATAAAATTACTGACATGTATTTATCTATTTATTTATTTTGGTCCTGTGTTATTTGCCGAAAACTTACGGAGTTTGCTGTTCGTTGTTGTAGTTATATTCAAATTCTCTTGTAACCTTTTTTTTTTTTTAAACTAAGTGAGAATCGGTGCTTTTCTAATGCTTTTCTAATGGTTTTTAGGCTGTTTAATTATCTGAAAGTGCTTAGGTCGGTTGCAGTATGTTGGTGGTTGATGTTCAAAATGTTTCCAAGCCGTTCCAGGTTGCTTCTACAGAAAAATAGGCGGTTTTGTTCTTTTGTCATGTACAGTCCTGAATGGTGTTCAGCTTTGAATTGTTGAGCTGATTATGGGTTAATACTCGAGTCTGCAAATTTGTTCTGTTACTTAAGCAGCAAACAGTTGATAGTTCTCTTTTGATGTGACCTATTTGGTGTACCGTAATGCAGTTAAGATGACGGAGGTAAATTCATTTTTACGTTTCACTAGGCTTGTACACTAGTATGCTATCCAAAAGTGAAGTTAAGCACGACCGAACACATTTTGTTTAACTTAAATCCCCAACATGTGTCTGAGTGCTTCTTGTCTAAGAGTCTCAGACCTGTGCAAAGGTAGGTAGATAGTTTCAAACTGTCTGCAAGATATACTCAGTTAAAACGTTACTTAAATTCTTGCATCTGTGGTTTGTGAAAAACTGCAGAAGTGTCTTCCACATCTGGTGTCTTTCCGTTGGAAAAAACAAAAGGCTGAATTGCAGCCTTTCACGTGTGCTGCTTTGTAATTTTGAACTTTAAGCCTTTCTTTATCTGCTGTAGGAGCATGAATCAGAAGGTGGAAGAACTCCTCTCATGAAAGCTGCAAGGGCAGGTCACGTTTGCACTGTTCAGTTCTTGATTAGCAAAGGTAAGAGCGTGAAAAGGTTTTGGTTTTCCTGCTGTTAGAAATGTTCGAGGTTAAGAACATGTCAATACTAGCCTAACTTCCTTGGATTTATTGCAAATTTTCTAACTTCAGTAGGTTTTTGATTCTCACTAGGCGCGTAATGATCACCTCTGGTGAGACTAGTGGAAACTGCAGCTACTTCTAAAAATGGTTATATTCCAGTCTCTAATTCCTAGTAAAAGCAGCAACAGTAGTAGTGGTTACTGTCTGTCTACAAGCTCCTGATGCAGCTTTTGAGCAGTGTCTTTTCAGAAGTCTAACTTCCAGTGCGTGTTTGTGTCAAAATTTTGACTACAACTCGCTTTATGTTGCCAGAACTATTGGCTCCAGCCTTACATCACCGTTGAGCGCGTGGAGTTGATGCAGAGCTTGGCATTGTTGTTTTTTCTCTCTGTCTCTCGAGCTGATACTGAAGTATTTTTCTTGTATGTTCTTTGTATGGCACAGACCTGGCCTAAGGCTTCCAGGGTGATGTTGTTTTCCCTGTGCAGATCGTAGAGGAAAGAAGCAGTGCTGCAATTAGTCATCTGCTTGCTGATGCCAAGATACACGCGTCCATGCACTGGATCTTAGCATTTTTTTGTTTGTTGGTTTTTAAAAGAGGCATATCTCTGGCACAATTGTGGCCAAATGGAAAAGCGATAGGTTCGCTTGCTCTGCGATGTTCCACGCTTGCCAACATAGCCACTGGAACAGTGCATTTGGAGTGGTCTTCTGGTGATAGTAGTAATGGGCTGTTCAATTTGTCAGTTGTAAGACTCCAGCCATGGAGAACTGTGTTGTCGTATCGAAGAAAAAAGTTAACTTCCTGTCGCTTTTCGCGGAGGAGAACCGGTTGAAGTTTTCTTAAATAACCTTTCACCCTCTGTTTTTGAAGGAGCAAATGTGAATAGAACCACAGCTAACAACGATCACACGGTATTGTCGCTGGCCTGTGCTGGAGGTCATTTGGCAGTTGTGGAGTTACTGCTAGCTCATGGTGCTGATCCTACACACAGATTGAAGGTTTGTCGCTCACCTACCTTATTTTCCTCTTAGGTAGTCTTTCACTAACCTTAAATCTAGCGGTGCCCGAGCGAATTTGCTCCTTTCGTATTCTCGGCAACGGACCCAGCGTGTCATGATTTAAGTTGGAGTAAGATGCAGGAGCTGGTATTTCCACGAACGGGTATTATGGTCACGAACCTATTTATAGAATTTAGAGTTAGGAGGAGCGCGGGTGTATTGATTACCGTGAATGTTAAGGTTGCACTCCGGTTGCAAGGTCGTAATTGTGGAAGAGGAAGGAAAATATGAGAAAGCATTATTTTTTTGGGAAATACTTAAGAGTCCTGAAGTTTAGATGTGTGCTAACTGCAGATTGAATGAATATTTATTAACGTGGTCCTTGTCTGTACCATGTCGTGTCTCCCAAAATGCTTCAGTGTCGTCATGTTTTGACGATGCATTTGCCTAATACTGTGATCTTTCCCTCTTTAGGATGGATCGACTATGTTAATAGAGGCAGCAAAAGGTGGTCATACCAGCGTGGTTTGTTACCTTCTAGATTACCCAAATAACTTGCTTTCTGCTCCTCCGCCTGACGCTACTCAGCTGACCCCACCATCCCATGATTTAAATAGGGTAAGATTTAAGGGCCGCTTGTTTGTAGATTTGTGGGGCACTTTCGCATTTCTTCTTGCACCTTAGTCAGAGTT